CTTGAGTTGAAGGTTTATTATAAGGTTCTAGCCTTGATGAATTTATCTTAAAAAAAAATTAAATTATTGTATATTTTCGTAAACAAATATATTTTTTCTGAAGGTTGTATCAATGTGAACCATATTTCCAAAATATGAAGTGAATATATTATTTTTTCTGTTGAGATTCTATTCTATTTAAACTGACTCAATATCGAGTCTTGGCCTCCTGTACCAGCCTCCACCAATTGTTCCTATCCTGTGCAGCCAACATCCAGCTCCTCACTCCCAACATGGACCTGGCATCATCAGCCACACTGTCACTCCACCGAAGCCGAGGTCTTCCTCTACACCTTGTTCCGTGCATTACTTCTATCATGATTTTTTTCGGAATGTCATTCGAGCGATGTGCCAAGCCCATCTCAATCTATCGAGCTTCATGCAATGAGCCACGTCCGCTTCATTAAACAAATCTTTGAGCTCCTGGTTCGTTCGACGTCTCCATAACTGGTCAACTTTCACAGCTCCAAAGATTTTATGCAAAATCTTCCTCTCAAAGACCATTACATTCTGCTCGTCAGTTTTGGAGATAGTCAATGTTTCTGAGCCATAAAGAAGTAACAATCGGATACATTAGTTTATACAGTAGGATTTTTGTTCCTCTGGTTAAAGCACAGCTCCTAAAATATGGACTGAGGCCATAATAACAACGACTGACACATAGCACTCTTCGCTTAATTTCAGAATCCACAACATTAACATGAGTTATGTGGGAACCAAGATAAATAAATTCTGACACTTTTTCAATGGAGAATTGTCTGATGGTAATCCTTTTGCCCGGTCTGGGATTTTCCTCAGTGACCATATATTTGGTTTTTGCAGCGTTGACTGTAAGGCTCATTTTTCTTGCTGCTTCCACTAGTTTCGAGAATCCATCAGTGACTGCCTAGAAAGGGCGTCCAGTCTGTTGATATTAACAAAGTGAATATATTTTTTGAAATATAATGTAAATAGATAGGAAAAAGGAGTAAGGTTCCAGCCGTAACTCTAGCATTTTACTACCGAGCTCATAAGACTCGAGCCTTGGCTGAGTCGAGAAAGCTGAACCTTTTTCGAGAATGAAACCACAGGCAAGTAATGTATGATTCAATAAATATCGCTTAGTCTCATTTAAATATTTGTCTTAGTTTTATATTATTTTTAATATTTGTCTTAGTTTTATATTATTTTTAAAGTATTTAAATTGTTCTAAATTTATGGAAACATCTCTCGGATGTAAATGCAAACCATTTTTTGCTATAATTAACAATTTTGACTTTTACTTACGATAATATGAAATATTTAGTAAGATATAGTATGTATAATAAGAAAGTACTAGAGATGGTATCAATAAGCATATTAATCAATGTAAAATTGAATTAAAGTCATTAATGTCTATTGGGGGCAAGTAGTATAGCAGAGTGGTTAGAGCACTGTACGAGTAAACTGAAGATTATAGGACCAAATCCCAGCCCCTGCTTTCTCTTCCCTGGTAAGACTTTTACCTGCGGAAAGTTAGATCATACTCCCTTAATTAGGTAAGGCCTACAAGTTGAAAATATACTTGTAAAAACAGGCTAATAAAAAATAAAAAAAGAAATCTGTAAAGTTTTATTGAAACAGTCTAACAGAGTTTATAAAAATATAAGTGCAATAATGACAGGAAACCATACAGCACAAGTATTTGTTGAAAATCTTGAGAAAATTGTAAATGGTGTCTATCCTCTGGATTTACACTCTGGCCAGCTTATTGAAAAAATATATCCATTTATAAAAACACATGAATAAAGAATGGATGGGTGAGAGTAATTTTAGTTACAAAAATGATATAATACAACAAATAAAACTGCTAATAGAGATGTATCAAGGGAAGAAAAAATATATAAATCGATAAATACAATGATGGCTCAAGATGAAAGAGTGAACTTACACAGAGAATGTTCAAATTCAATAAATCTGCCTAGTAGCCCGTGGGCGGGGTGGCCGAATGGGCTAACGCTAACAGCACCGCCGTTGCCCGACAACCTGATATATCAATCCAACGATATAAAAATAGTCACGAGTTCACGTCCCGGTGCCGAGGGAGTCTTTAAATCATCGCCCACACTCCCTGGCCCGGGAAAACCCTATATAGCCTTATTGGCGAGAAAGGGGGAGGACCCAATTAAAAAAAAAAAAAAAAAAAATCCGCCTAGTATGGCTTTGCATAATTAACATTGGTGCTTGTAATATTACATAATTTTAATTCCTAAAAATTATGTAATGGCACAAGAAATAGATACTTAACAATGTCATTGAGACCGTATTCCTAGTAATCCTAAAAGACAAAGAAAATTGGTTGAATTCTACAAAGTCCATGGATTTTCAACAGTAAAAATTTATAGGGTGATTAGGTTATCTAATACATAATTTAGGAAATGATGGTCACAGGATTGTCAAAATAAAACAATATTATGCTAACATGAAAAAAGGAATTCTTTCATGCAATTAATACACATGAAATTAAGGGAAGATGTAATTATTTGAAGGAACACATATATGGCTAAATTTCTAATTCTCTCACTTACATTTTCTTTATTTATATTAGAATTATTGTATGATTCTTTTTGACAGACCTATAATTGATACAGAGTTTATACTCTTCTTATAAAATTCAGGTGGAACTAGAAATGGATGATCTGGTCATCAACCGGTTATAAGATAGTTGGTGATTAATAACTTAAGAAAAAAAAGAGAGCTGATATCTTTTAAGAGAATTGTAATCTTTAAAGTTAACAATTAAGTGTATTTATTTTTGAAAATGAATTTATTTTTAAATGAATGTTATGAAATTTTAGAACTAATTTTCAGATTGCAAACTGATGTTACTTTATACTTTTCATCTATCGATCTATTATTAACAATTTTATGTATTGTCATATCCTAAATTAGCTTTCAAAAAATGAAATTTAATTAGCATCTTTTTGAAAAATAATTTTGGACGGTTATCCATTCAGTCTGAATCAGGGTAGTTATGGGTAAACATTCAACATATTTTTGGTTACAATGGTAACCCTTTATCTTTAATGAAACATAAAAATATCTGGAACAGTGTGCGCATCATACAACTTTCATTTACCATCCTACTTTTAGAGGATTAGATGACTGAGCATACAAAATGTGTAACATAATTACAAATACGGAAATTAAGCTCTATCAGACTTTTAATGAGGTTAAAACCAACCAGATATATAAATGGTTAGAAGTTTGAAGGTTACTATTAAAAATTCCTATTATCATAAAATAAGCTGGTGAATGTTTATTTTGATATTGTGAGAAATTATACCTTTTAAAACAAATTAATTGGATTTTTGCGACAATGTTAATGTTCAATTTAATAATACTAATAAAAATAGAAAAAGTCAAACTTTATTCTATATAATCATATATTAAATTAATACAGCTAGAATAAGAGTAAGACAAATATATTATACAACATGCATGAGAGTTTTATACTTTTAAGGATGCAATCCAGCTTATCTCTTCAAATAGATAATAAAAAAACATGATCCTAAACACATACAATGTTAACTGCAAAAGGGAAAATTCATGATACAATTTTATTTACACTTACCACTGAAGCTCAAGTTCTGTGCATAATGATGCCTGTACAGTGCATCAAAAGAAACCATATCTTCAAATAAATTTTTAATACATAACATAATAGGATACCAATCCAAAATGATGAGCCATATATTACTATTGTAAACAGCCCTGAATGCATTATGATAAAATAAGCAGCATAGACAAGTGAGATACTCCAGAAATAAAGCCAAAGCTAGTAATATGTTGCATATTGTGCATACATGAACATTATTTTTGAATCCAAATAGACCTGCCCATGTTATTTAGAGAAAATGTTAATAAAAAAAATATATAAATATAACTACTTATACAACTAGAAAAAAAGAAATATTTATAAAGCGTTCAAGATCCAAGTACCTGTCAATAAAATTCTGTAGCACAGAACTAATCAATTCAATGGAACAAAATATTTTATATTGGCACCATTGATTTCTTTTTGAACGACCAAATTTAAAATTTAAAAAACAAACTATAAAAGGCCATTTGGAAAAGTTCGTTGATGAAAATAATAATAAGATTTTAAAATTGACAGAAATAGAATAAAGTAAATTTAATCAAGTTATAATACAACACTTTTACTAATACATCTTCAGCTTGCTGTGTCATTGCATGAAATGAATGCATATTTAAATTAATTAAAAATGTTTAAACATTAGTTTTAAAGATAAATCTTCAACTAAAACAAAAGTGCTCAAGAAATCAACCCAATGAAACTGCCGATTGAGTATTAGTTATTTTTTAAATAATTCATTCCAACACAGAACTAAGCTTTTTCATGTTGATGGATTCATGAAAATCTACAAGAGTTTATTTCCAGTCACCAGAGATCAGTTTTTATAATAAGAAAATAGAACTACTATATTACAAAAAAAAAAAAAAAAAAAAAAAAGAAAATTAAAACACAATCTTTAAGTCTATGGTTTCAGTTTTATTTTACTATTTGGAATACTATACTAAATACAAAGTAGGTGTAAAATGTAAAAGAATTGAAAAAAAAATATAATGTTTTAAAAAATATCCCAAATGAATAAACAACTGACACTATAAATAAGATGTTAATTTGGCCCTCTGATAACTTCAAAGAAAACAATTATATGATTATAAATTCGCTTTAAAAGTAAAACTATCCAAACAGATAAAATATTATATACAAGATATAAACATAGAAATATACCTCTAAATATAGAAATAAATGAGGTAAATATATAAATAAAATCTATCAATGAGATTACAGATTAAAAAATAAATTAATTGGTATGAAATAGATATTAGGTAAATGAACCAAAAACCAAGAAGACCTCAACATCAGAGAGAAACATAGGAAAAAAAAAAAAAAAAAAAGAAAATTTGAAACTTACTTTTCTTCTCTTTGGCAAGGCGTTTCAACAATTGGAGGCTTTTCCCATTGAATATTAGCATCACAATTATGATGTATATGCTGAAAATATAAAAGTAAAATCTAATTACATTGTCACATTAAAAACAAAAAACAATCTAAGACATAATAAATAAATATAAATCTCAAGCCATACCTCGACATTTGACATAATATGGTTGATGTCCATTATATCCCAAGCCCTAGTAATTTCTGCAAAACTTGTACAAGGTCCTGGACTAACATCACCATTTCCTAAAAAAGATAGAAAAACTGATTAATTTTAAAAGCTAACTTAAAAAATAAAGACAAAGAAAAGGTTATGAATAGAATTAATTGATTTCGATGTTATTCGCTTGCTTGTAAAAACTCCAAACCCTAATTTATATCTGTTTCAGAATCTGTAGAATAGCATATCTAAATTTCATATTGCACGGAATCGTACTTTTGCACTTTAGGTGCTAAATTAGATTATTTATAAATATAAATGTATATGTGTGAGTTAATATTTATCTTTTTGTTTTACTATATTGTCCAAATTAAATTTATAATTCAAGATAAAAAAAAAATATGAGGAAGGTGAATAATTCTGTGAATAGCAAAGATCGAATTTAATATTATGAAAGGAAGAAGTAAATATAAGTAAGAAAGATTCCTGGAATAGAACTTGCCTGAAGTATTGGATAATAAAAAATAGACTTACTAGAAAAAGCTGTTTTGTTACAATGACATTTATTGTTATTGTTTTGTTTTTTAGTCTCACTCATTCATTCAGCTCTTCAGTATCCTTTCTGGCTACAACTGACTCAAAACACATGAGTTTCCTATTTAATACTGAAATTTCATAGTTTCTATTGAAACACTGACTATGTTATTTAAAATGGGATATTAATTTTCTAATCATGAACTGTTGCACTATATTTAAATAGTAAAACGAAAAGGATACTGTGATATTAAGTGGTGGATTAACCAACCAAGTTGAGAATTATTCCACCGCCCCCCTCAAAAAAAAAAAAAATCCTTCTCACATACTCTTTTTCACATTCTTGTCATAGTAATATAAATTAAGACAAGTCAAATATTTCATATCTTTTTGGCACTTCTCTAATGATAATATCAGCTTAATGATAGATTAAATGAACAAACCCACAAAATCAAATGTATGTGGACAATCCTTCTACTAAAAAAGTTCTATATCCACTCTGAAGTATTGAAATAAGAAAAATGGAACATATTGTAACATCTCTCTTTCTTACATTTTACAAATTATAATAATATAATCTCAGAAGCTCACTTCATACTGTTGGGATACTTCCTAAATAATTAAGAAGTTGTTAAATAATAAACAAAATTACAAGAGTATTAATATATTAAATTGAAATTATAATTATTTTATCTGAGATATGGGTTACTGACAATCAGATCAAAAGACTCAGACAGACTAACATTAACTACAGTAAACACTGTTTGATTTTAAAATAAAGTCAAATATGGCTTGGCAAGCCAACCTTTTTTTCTTACTGTTTCTTCCTTAGTTGCACTAAATTCATTTGTCTTCTAACATCTTCTAAAATGGTGACACTTTCTTCTACTCAATTCTTCTATTCAAGCTCTCTGAGAGATCCTCTCTCTTGTAATTCCAAACAACTAGTAACTCTGTCAAACAACAACTTCTAAGATGGTAATACTATTACTGGGTTTTATCCACTGGAGCCAGGATCTCTTCTCCTACCTATCTTCACTGCAGCCAAACAACAACTGCTTGCCAAAACAAAATCCTTGGTCCCTCCCCTCTCCTCTTTGGGATTTTCCTTTCTGGGAAAACTATAGAGTAGCTATTTTCTATTTCCTGAGCTAGTGAAACTAGATTAGCTTGCTTATTAACTGTTACACTAATTTATTAAATCATTTTTAACAACTTTCAAATAAGGTGTATATTACAATATTTTATTTTCATTATTACTTTTAGTCAGCCTAACCTTTGATAAAATGAGGTCCATTAAACAACTATATCTATTTCTACTGGCACAATCTGATTTTAATTAGACCACCTAAATTCGGTCATAAGAGGGTCTTTAAGGACATTGTGACTATTTTTGAGATTCAAATTGGACTACTTCCATCATTTTTTAAAATACTTTTTCCATATGCAATCAACTATGAATCATAAATAAGTTTTTTCAGCCATGACTGTGAGGGACTTAGGTCCCTCGTAATCGAAGGTTTACCATTAAGCCATCAAAAATAAAAACTTATGCCGAATAACATAAGTAAGAAATTTATATTTGAATATCAACATCTTGTGTCTAACATTTATAATAAAAAAGATCTTTTTGTTCACCGTTACTCATCTAGAAATGATTGAGGTTAATGCCCCAACTGTGACTAAGAGAGAGAGAGAGAGAGAGAGAGGTAGCACTACGAAGTCATTGCGATTAATTTGTCCCTTTTCCAAAAGAAAGTTTTAGTAACAGTCTGAGACTGAGGGAGTTTTTTTTCTATTAAACTTATTTTATATGTTGGCCACTGTAAAGAAAAATAAACACTTTTTCAGTGAGGTTTAATGATTTTAAAAAGTATATTTTGTATCTGGGTACCAAATGGAGCGGGGTAGCTCAAAGATTAAGTCATTGTCCTCCTATTCTCGGAGTGCTGGAAAGTTGAAATCAGATAGCGGCAGGTAATTATTTATTCTGTAACGTCACCCTTTGATTGACTGAGGGGTTGGGTTAAGAGATCCTCCTCAGACATATCCAGCGTGTTTAAAAGTGGGAACTTTTAACTAAATAATATATTAGAATAGAAAGAGAAAAACCTGGTGGTTAAGTGTGATTTCTGTCTCCTTGAACAACCCTTGATCAAGAAAACAGTAGTTCCTAACAAAGTACTGAACTGAGGGTTGCATTGGTACACATTTTTTTTAGGTGCCTTTTTTTCTGAACAACCAGCTGATTTCTCATTTTTTACTACTCTATCCCACTAAAAAAGTAGTGAAAAAAAAAATCAATAATTTCTGATTAATAAACAATCAAACAGTCTGAAATCCACAGTAAATATTTTTACATGATCAACTGATCAATTGCCGATATTTATTTATTAATGATTTAAAATACTGAAATGTTTAACACTATGATTTCAGATAAAATCATTCAAAAACAATTTTAAAAAAGAGAGAAAAGTGTACATAAAGACAAAAAAATGATACTTCAAAACACGATTTTGATGATGTCCAAGTCACAGCTGGTTTTTATTATTTTTCCAGTCCATAAAACACTTTTGGAACTTGATCTTTGGAATAGCATTTATCTCTGAAAGAGATGTGTTCTTAATCTCATCCATACTTGAAAAATTACAGTCTTTTAAGGTTCTTTTAATTTTTGGAAAGAGGAAAAGTCAAAAAGGGCCATACTAGGTGAATCAAAAACGCTAATCAACATTAACATCTTCACAGCCATTTCGGAAACATTTGTACAACTTGTAAACCCTTGTTTTACTCATACCAGAATCACCAAAAAAATATTCAATATTTCTAAAACTTTGTTACATTTTATTCCATTTTTCTAACAAAATTTAACGCTAATTCTCTGATTCATTTTTTTCAACAAATCAAAAGTTAACATTTGGAAGCAAACACACAAAGTTATTCACAACTGATGAGAGACTAATAACACTGCTCTAACATTGATATTGTATCTCACTTGAAAACAGCCTCCTTCTATGTTTTTTGGTGTGAGGAATCTGAATTTCAGTTAGCTCTAGTTTCAAAGATATAGTTACTTTTTGAGTAATATGGAGAAATTTTCTGTTCCTGGGGGATGGTAGGATTGAATTCTGTCTGTGAATTGCAGGAGATGACTAGCTGAATAGAACCATTTTGCTGAAAGTTGTATGCAGTGGTTACATTTCAAGTTACTCTTGACATGATTTTTCTTGCTTCAGGCAATCTTTCGATGATTTTATCGTGATAACCTAGTAATTTTGGTGAAATTACAAATCCCAGGAAGTGTGTGAATACTCCTGACAACTTTTCTTACATTTGTGGGGAAGTAAACTTTGCAAATCAAAAACGTCCTATTATCTAGATGATCAAGAAAGCATACCAAAAGTATTTTAGGGTGAAAGTTGGTGACTAAAATAAATCGTGGCCTCCCGCACATCTGCTGCCTCACATGTAGCGTAACCTTAAGAGAATGGTTGAAGACGAAAGGTTGTTCTTCAATGGGTTTTGCTGTTCCCATGGTGTGGAGGGAGTCTACCAATCACACTGACAACTGATACTTCAGTATAACCCATCCTCATCATCATGAAATGCCTCAAAAAAAGAAATCTGAAGTGAAGTATCCTGATATTCCTTCTGCTATACAACCAATACTACATTGGGACGAAATGTATGTTCCATGACCTCCTGAACACTGAGGACGAGGATAATGAAGAGAAAAATCCCGTAGAAAGAACCCCATCAGATGATCCTGATTTTTGTTTTGAACAAGAAGAACAAAAACCCCACATGCTTACTCAAGCTGAACTCAGTGACTTGATTCGGAGCCTGGATCTGCCATAAGAGAAAGCAGAACTTTTGGGTTCAAGATTTGAGCAATTGAACTTCTTACAACCTGATGTAAAGACTACAATGTACAGGGGTCGTACAATGCACAGACAGACTTGATCCCCTTTTTCAAAAAATATA